TTTTGAGATCAAAAGTAAATATTTGATGATGAATTGTTTTTATTTTTTAAATCTTGTCTTGCGTGTTATATTATACGTGTGTGTTTATTGAAAATAAATGGTTTTTTGAAGAATAAAGGTATGTTAATCAAATTCTTGTATCTCTATTATTTTTTTTATTATTAAATATAATTTGGAAAATGTCCACATGGGGACGGTTGTACCAAATAATATGGGGACAGTTGTACCGGTATAAACGACCCCATGCCTTGTATTATTTTAAAGTAAAATTTCTTTTTCTTTCTAAACGTAAAACGTTTGCTTTATATTAGATGCCACGAGTACGTATTCGCAAAATAGGAAAAGGCCAACATGATGATAGCGCTTATATCAATGCCTATGAGTGTATATTGAGTGTAAGAACTGGGCTCATGAGCAATGCACTGACGGAGAACCCAGCTACGTATGCAATAATTGTGATTCCAACTAATTTTATTGTTGCACACATAGCAGGACATTTAAGTATAATTTTAAAAGTGTTTTCTTTATTGTAATAAATACGTTTATTGTAATAAATAAGTTTTATTTCTGTATGGTACAATCGACCCCACCCCCCTGGTACAACCGTCCTGAGGTCTGAGGTCGGTTGTACCATTTCTCACCCACAACAAAATTTAGATTTATGAAGGTACTTGTAACCTTGAGGGATTAAAAATATGGGCAAAACGTAACCAGATGATTAGGCATTAAACTATGACAAGTACCATTGGGCTAAGTAAAATCCTATTAAGCCTACAGGCAAAATCTAAAAATGGTACAACCGTACCCAGTCTACCCTACACGGCTATATAATTTTATTTGTTCATTTAGGTAAGTCTAAACATATTTTCTGAACTTGTTTAATTTTTCACACTTACGTTTTAGCACGGTAATTAAAATTAGGTACTTTTTGACAAAAAAAGTCCACGCAAAAATTAGTAAAGAAAGCGCAAATTAATTAGAAGCACATTGTTATTAGACGTCATGTCCCAGGTGCGAGCGAATCTTTTTATTTTGCTTTAAATATGCCCCCGCCGCAATGTCTGCGTCCGTCGGGATTTTTAAAGTTCGTTATTAATTTGCAAATTAAATTATGACGAGAGTCACATGCGCGCGGCGTGCACGTACACCAGCCCCCACTGTATGCGATGTAATTGAATTAGTTTCATTAGCTAATTATGTGTTATCACGTAATTTAGTTTGTAAATAACTTCATGCTGGCGTGAAATCAGGAATATTTCCCCGTGCTTTTCAGCGGGATGTAAATATTTTAATGTAGATTAAAATATGAATATTTTAAACAGTAGTGCATTGACGCTCTTGATTCGGCACTTAATTATTTAACGCAATTAGCATATTCGAGTGTTTCAATTAAGCACCTCCTGAGTTTTTCTGCTTCTTTTTAATTTCGCTGAAAATTTTCGATCGTTTGGCGAAGTCTGCGGTGTATTTTTATAAATTATAAGAAATCCGTAATCCGCGGCGTGCGAAACGACGTAATTCGTGATTCGACATTCTTCCAGCAAAGAGACGCCTAATGCGCGTTCGCATCGCGAATCTGAATAAGCACCGGAAGGCTGAGAAAAAGCGGGAAGCGCGCGCCGTGCGCCGTCAGGTGGAATCTTAATATTTAAATATTTAAAATTCAAATTGCTTTTTGCTTTCCGCATATTTCGGGTCGGCCGAGCCGGTTTTAAGACCGCCGACATATACAAGAGTAACTCGCATAACGAGCGCTCACGGCGCTCGTAAGCAGTAAGCACCGATACTTGCACCTCACCTTGCATCTTGGAACACTTCAAGTTTATGTCCATCACGCGCCCCACGGAAAACAATGCTTTGCATACCGTGCGCACCACCACAAAGGCCGCGCGACGTGCGAGACAAGCCGCGAATTCCGGCTGCTATGTTAATATTCATCTACCGATGTTTGTTGTGTTAACGTTTTAACAAAGTCATAAAACCGAGAATTTTGTCATGCTAGAAACACGCAAACCAGTTTTTACTGCATTTCTTTTCTTTCATGACATGCGAAAAAACACCACACCACACTCACGCGAAACAATTCCACGAACTTAGATGCAAAAACGTGTTGCCCGTTAATTTATCAATCAATTTCCGGCAATCAAATATAATTCATTAAATATGCATGTTCTAGATTTTATTCAACACATCATATTATGTATTAAAACTCATATCGCCACATAGAACGGTCATCAAACCTTGATGAAGGTATAATGACGAATTGATAGCAAATACTTTAATTTCTCGTATCTAGAATTTAAAAACTATATATAAAAAAACTATATTCCGGGAGGAAACTGATGTAGTAAATAATGGTGGCTACCGACGCTCAAATGGTAATTAACTGTATCATTGAAAATGGTAAATTATGGCATACATTTTTGTCCTATCGTTACAAGATTTTTTTTTATTTTCACGCATGAACCGTGTACCTATCATTTGCCATTGGCATGATCATACCTACGTGCAGATAGCATTCATGCGTTCGACGTTGAACTCGTTCAACTCGACATTCAATAACTAAAAAAACTCACTGCCAACAAAAACACCAAAAAATTCTTAGCCTCTTGCCATGATGTAGTAACATTGCAACATCACAACTCGCATTAAATCAACGTAATAATCCCATGTTTTTTTTTTGTATATTTTCGACCGACTTAGCAAGAACTAAATGCAAAATCAACAGCAGCGATATAGCAAACAATGGTACATGCATTAACGATGAACTTCATGCGAGAATTAATCCTGCGTTTTGCTCATTTTGTTGGTGTTGGCTGTTTTTTGTTCAATTGGTACAGTTTGTTTAAATTGTATGCTGTTTTTGCTGTGTACGCTTCTAATTAGACTCCGACGTTCAGGTGCGTCTAGGCAACTTCGCGACTAGGCTAGTTTGCGCCATTAATTAAAACCCGAAAGCAAGCGCGCGCGCCGTTGGCCAAAAATTTACAACGCTTTTTACCGCAGCGCAACGGAAACCTAACAATGTGCTTCGGTCCGTCGATGCTCGACCGAACAAATTGTATAACCGGCGTTGGAATCACTGCGCGACTATCTAATCAGTTCGCTTAATAAAACCGAACGAAGCAAGCGGGTTCGAATTTAATCGCCGCTATGACCTCGGGCAACAAAAATCATTTCCACATTATGAACGTGGACTCCACTCCAACACGCGACTCTACGTATTGCTTGAGACGGACAAATCGATTCACAACGTTCGCATGTTGGTCGTGCGTTACATACCGACTGATTTTGCACTGTAATCACTAAAGCATATATGTACATTAAATTTCATAACACTTGTGCGTGCTCTACCCGTTAATCCAACTTCGTTATAAAATTAAGAACAATCTCAAGTGAAGAAATTGAAAATTTGAACAAATATTTGTGGATTTATAATTTCTGAAGCACTTAAAACAAATGATTTTAATATTAATCAATGTTAATGTAAAGCAAAAAGCATGTTCATTTGTGTGTGTAACTACATAAGTACAAAGTATTTCCTTGCATAATCCTACAAAGTAAATCTAGTAAAATATGACGTTTTTACACCAACAACTTTATTTCATATCTTTTCGTTGTTAGAGAAAATAAAGTTTTCATGTACAGTTCGATGAAAACCCGTTAGAGGCCAAGAATGCGGAAATATTTTTTATGCACTGATATAACTCATAATTAAAAACTTTATTGTTACATTTGCAGTGCAGTGTTTGTTACTGCACAACTTATTGATTTTGAAGTGTAGCGTGTAGCAGTTTTATAAATTAATTTGTTACTGAAATAATAATTTGCATTTATTGCAATTCATTGAAAACCCACGTCACGATTACACGAACAAACTGATAATATTTCCGACTCATATTAAACGCGAGCCGATAAGTCAACACCGCCTACAAGTGAAGTAATGTGCGACCTCAGCGGTGGAGACATCATCAACACAGCTAAATAAATATTTCCGGAATTTCCGGTAGGTATGATTTATACTCCAAGTGCATTGTTAACTAGATAACCAATAAGTGCACTACAGAATATACTATTATTCGTGATACATACTCATTAAAATGAAAAAGCAGTCCCCGTAACTCTTACAACTGAAGCAATAGAAATATGTACGTAATAATGCCAGTATTTCAATAATTTGTATGCCTGTAGCCCGCTGCCAATTTGCATCAGCATTCAGATCCATTGGATTCGCTGCGTGGATTCGAAGGACTTCGTCGGATTCTAGGCGTCGCGCGAAGTCATCCACTTCGCGCACCCTCAAATGCGCGATTCTAATAGGCAAATCGGCAAAATAGAGCCGAGAGATTTCGAGATTACTAAAAAGGTTCATGTTACACGTAACGCGCCACAAAAGCAGAGCAAGACTAACTGCACGAGCATCGCGAGATGAGAAATGCGAGCAGGAGGCTGCAGGCGGTGGAGCTGGAGAGAGAGATTGAATTTCTGATTATCGAACCAAGATTTTGCGTGCAATTAATCGCGCGCCCATGTGTTTTCGAGCGCGACGTGTTCGTACAATCATGAATAATGAAATTTGCATTCAACGATTTCGCCAGCCACACACACGTTTGAATGATGTTTCTGAACGTTAACAACATGCATTATACTTTAGTCAGTACAAACAAACACAGGTACGCGTGAAGCAAAAGAAAAAAGTGAGGATGTCGCTGTAAAACGTGACTTGTCATCGTAGCGCACACAGTTAGAAGGCCGTATATTTCATATATTTGCTGAACAATTTGTAACGAGCGAATGATAATGTAATAATGCATAAAAACTTCTAAGTAGTGTTATTTGCTGTAACATATTCGAGCTATTCTTAATTTTTCTGCGCACATAAACATTTATGTATTTTTTGTTGTGTCATGAAGCATGATAATTTTATTTTTAAATTCCTTTGCTTTGGTTTCGCCGGTTTTATAGAAACAATTTGAATACAAAAAAGCATAAATTCTCACCTTCTTTCCATCGCGAAACTTGACGGTACCTTCGATGACTGACGTGGTATCCATGATTTAATTTCTTACTGAACTCTTGATAACTTAATAACTTTTAATAACTTCACTAATTTTGCTTTTTGGCTTGTGTTTACGTTGTCGGCGCTTGAATCAGTTCGCCAGCAGTAGCGGAGAAGAGTTTCTGTTCTGCGTTCCTTGCGTTAATTCCAAGTTAATGAGCAGGAATACTCAGCCTACATGCAAGTTCACACATCGTAGATTTCCACTGCACTGACAAATCCTGTGTTTCCATTGTAGTTCGTAATTACAAGAACAATTCACAACTATTTCTCAAATATTGAGTCTCGTGCTAGTAACATGTAATTAATGTCTTTGGGTAAATTATTTATTTATAATTAATTGATTTAAAACACAAACGAATTAGCGAGAGAGTTCAGACAGTGCTGAACAACGATTACAATATTCACTGAACTCGCCGAAAAGTGTGTTTTCGTCCGCGTGCGGCAAAATGTGTTCGTTGGGTACGTATCGTGCTCGTAAGACCGCTGTGAGCCGCTACGCCTGCAGCACCCACGACCGACAACACGATGCGAGCACGACTAACGCGCGAGTGCGGTGAGAACCGGCCGACACCGAGACCATGGCGCGCGCTCTCGGGCTGCGTGCGCTCCGGCAACGACCGCACCACGCATTCGGGACTACGGGTTCGGGTAGTCGGGTGCCGCCGCGACGCCCGCCGTTCCCGCACAACCTACAGCCCGCCAGACGATTTCTTCCGCAATCGGCGAGTTCTGCGCGGGCTACGACGTCCGCCCAGGACTACACTGCCAGGGATTCTTGGTAATTACATAAAAATCATATTTTAAATTTATATAGATCAAGAGGAGGTTTACATCCCGAACAAAATTATAACATTTTTATAAAAATATATGTTTATGTTTCAGTTTTATTTTATTCCATTATACGCGGGCTCGGTTTCGCATCTTTACATTTTACTCACATTTTATACAATCTTTTATTGTACAGGTACTTTAAAACTGCGACTAGCGAAATAAAATAAGCACTTAGCGCGACATTGTAGATATAAGTTTTCTAACATAATGTTACATATTGTCACGCATTCCGACATCTCGTAATCGCTGTGCTCTCACTCCAATGTTTTTTTTTTATCAATTTTTTCTTTGACACTTTTTATGTTGTAATCACACTAAAATGTTTTTTTAATGTTCCCTGCAAAATTATTGTTATTTTGTGTGAAGCAATAAAAAAATCTATCAACAAAATTACCGTAGTAAACAACAATAAAGAAGTCTTGAAAAATTGAGCAACTGTCAATGCAGTAAAAATGTTACTACATGCAATGTTAAGGTAGTGAGTGACACCTTGTATTGCAAAACTGAATTACCATTAGACTCGTGGCTGGTACTATTTGTATAGTTAGACATAAAATTTTTATTTTTGTTCGTAAACTAACAAATATCTTCATGAATGACATTGGGCTAACATTGTTGATTATTTGAATGTGTCGTGTGCTTGGCCCCGAGATGAACACAATTTCTGCTTCTGTTGTTTTTGCTTCTTTGTGATTCAACTACGATGAAACTGTACTTATATCATGTTTGATACAACCTTCAAGACTCCGCCGAACATTATAATTATCGTAGATGCGTGCTCCCGCTAATATGCAGAGGCTAAGTGCTTCTTGCGAGTAACAAGTTATGAGCAGCAGTGTGTGTGTGTGTGTTCGCATGTGTGCGTAGATGATGTATACCTGCGCTCGTCAACGCTAAATGTGCGCTGATTAAGTAATATCTGTGTATCGAAATTGCGTAGCTTCTCGCTTGGTGTTGTAACAGTAACGCGCATAATTGCAATTTGGTAATTCGATAATTCAGTAATGGCTAGAAGATACCAACTGCCACCGCAATGTAGCTTTATTAATTCATAATAAGCGAATGGCACTGGTTGGATGACGCGAATTGCGAGGGAAGTCAAAATTTGCTGCTTGATTTGGTGACAAAAATCTCATTCTAACAACGCTTTGAAGTTGATTAAGACATTGCTTTAAACAAACACATAAAGCAGAACAAAGCGCGCGAGAGTGGCGAAAAAGCGGACGTGCAGATACCGGGAGAAACTAGAAAGAAAAGCGTGCGCGCGCGTTCAATTTCAACATTTTTAGTCGTTAGCTGGTGTTTTTAGTGGGCGCTGCGCGCTCGGTGTTCTTCCCAGTTTCCGCAAATTCGGCGTGCGAATAACGCGGAGAAGTGAGTGGACGAAGAGGAACGCACAGCGGCGCGCCGAAGCACACAGCATCGCACAGAGGCTTTGTTTGCGTCGTTTCTGTCGGAAGTAGATTAGCCTCATTATTCTGTTTACGACCAGACACAAAGCAACGAAAAAAGACGTGCGACTTCGCGCCGTTCCAAAACGTCGAGTTGAAATTTCGAAATTTTACCAATTCGACCAATTTGCCGCAAAGGGGAAGACGTCGCTTGTCTGCCACTCCAGAAATATGTTTTCTCTAATTGCTATCCTTGTGAGACAAAGGAGGATCTCGAGATATCGATGTCGAAATGGACGTAATTTCAACCGCCTGCATCCCTTTTCAATTTATTCGTTTTTTTTTTTGAGTCATTGACTATCAAAGGCTGCTATTATTTGCAGGCATTTTCCACAAAATGCATTTCTAACTATTATGGGTCCGAGTGTGGGGTTTATATTGATATTGGATTGGGTAGTCATTCACTCGTGGGTCGTACACAATGGTGGAGTGTGAGCCCAACACACGCGGAGCGTATAAGTGAAAATTGGTCGATTTGAGAGCCGCGGAGCGGTGGAAATGTCGAAAGTACGCGTAGGGGAATCCGAAATCGCAAAGAGAGCCGAATTGGAAGAATGCCGAAATCCGGGCCTTCTTCGCGTGGCCCTCTTGCGTGCGAATTCCACGAGGAGTTCGAAGTTAAGTTTAACTTTAAATTGAAGGGATATATCCGTGTTTGGATTGAAGCGACGATGGCGTAATGCATTGAAGGCCGGTTCAATGCAAGGTCACGACTACTCACCGTCTGCGAATGCACCCGACGAAGAAATGTGAGGAGAAAAAAACCTATCTATAAGAATACTTTTTGAAGGGGTGCCAATTTCACAATAAAACTTCCATTCTTCTCGCAATGCAAACTGCTGGAAAACTGCAAATATTTTCAAGTTGAGGGAGTGGAATGGTCTTTGTTAAATGCAAACTTTAGCCGATGCTTTTAATTATTACTGCAATAATGAGACACTAATGCAAAACGATGCTCGGCGTGAAATTATGAATTTCAAAAATATCTACCTAAGAAAGGACAACTTGCAGACTTCGGGGCCGCTCTCTGGGACTTGTGCGTCTGTTTGGGCGTTTGTTCTCACTGCGTGCGCTTCGTTCGGTTCAATTCCAATCTGTTGTTCGCGCAAGTATAATTGCGAAATCATCGTCGCGATAATAATAAGTCGTCCGGAAAACGTTGCGCGATGAAAAGATCGGCGAGCACGGAGTTCGGTGTGGATCCGAAACAAAAGGGTTTCGGGCGATTCGTAAAGTCCTTCGCTTTGTGAGCCCCGCACATTGGCTTTCGTAATAATTATGATTCGCAGCGATTGCCGGAGAGATTAAAATTTGTGTACGCCGAACTCCACGACGAAGACGCGCGCGAACGGGCGACGCAAATGAACATAAAATGCGAAATGTAAAACGTAAACGTAAAGTCCATTTAAGTTTCAGTTTATGTTCGCCGCGTTTTACGTTTTCATTTGCGCGGTGTTTTGTTTAAGTTGAGTATGATTGAAAAGCAGTCATGCTTCGGCGAAAATTGCGTGCGGAATGTTAACATTTTAATATCACCGTTTTTGTGCGAAAGAGGGGAAGTTGAGCTTGGCTCAATAAAAGGGTAAAGGGCACGCGCTTTTTTATTGATATTAGGCAAAACCGATTGGTTCGCAGCTTTTTGCTCCGAATGCCAGCGGACCGGCGGACGTGTACGAGGTGATTGATACTTTTCTACTTTTTCATCTTGTTGAAAACCAGAAAAAAACACTCTAAGAACATATATAAAAGAGTATAAATTTATAGTTACGTTGTTCGTTTTCCCCGCATTTTTTTGTACCATAATAGTGTAGATGCGAAAATAGAAAGATAGAAGAAAATAAAATCGAAATCGAAATGGGAACGTATACCAAAGGTGCTAAAGAACTAGTCAAGCGTCCCAGTACGAATCCAGGAAAAAAATTGCAAATCATTTTATTTTATGGCAATATTGCTCAAAGTATGATGTTCGGATCAATCAATTTCAATGTTCTGCTGTAAATCACATTTGTTTTTTGTTTGTCTGGCTGGAGCGCCCAAACTTGAAACACGATTGTTTCCCAAAATACATTTTAGCGACTTTGCGAAGATTTTTTTTTACTTCGCGCTTTTTGCTGATAACTATAAGCCAAAATCAATCAATTGTAATGTTCTTGTGTTTTCGTACTGACTCAAAGATGTTTACGTCGACTTTGCCCCCGCGAAATAATCAGTGCCTTCGCTGTGGTCGCGACTGAAATAGTAAGTACGTCTAAGAAGATTTACTTATTTTGTTGGCGAAATAAAAAGGAATAAAAAGTACGGCGCAAAGGCGAGGGCGGCGCGGAAAAGTCTGGAGTAGACTTGAAGGCTGGAATAAAATAAAGTGTGAGTCGTAGCCGCCACGTCCACAACCAGAGGCAGTGATACACCAAGGCAGTCGGCACCGTCGGACGGAAAATGGTGAACGGAAGCGCATCTCGTGGCAACTAAGCCAGAAACATTTAACGGGCTAACTTTTTGGATATTCACTAATGGTAGACGTCGAGATAAATCATGTGGTTCCTTACACTTGCCGCCTGTTTAGTATGTGTCCTCGCGTTGAAATGTAACAACAATGTGCGTTGCATTGTGTCTTAAAAATAACAAAGAAACTCAAGAGGATATTGTGGTAATTTTAACAAAAGAAAGGGTAGCAGTGTGAAGCGCTATTGATTCATTAAATTGTTTTGAAAGGTATTCTCTGATGTAATGGCCAATGTTTTTTATTCTTTGAATTAAAAGTTAGATAACCAAATGCCAAAATCGACATGTTTTGTTAAACAATTTTAAAATATTCCATTTCATCTTTTTTTAAAATTAATAACACTGATATACAGTAATTTAATTAGTACTATGTTGCATAACCATTTCTAACCAAAATAACAATATTATATTACAGAAGGCTTAAAAATGTATAATCTATTTTCCGGCTAGATTTTTTTACCAATTTATTGTGTAACTATTTAACAGAAAGAGAAATTGGGTTAAATAAAAAGCGAAATTAATGCGATTTAAAATACCCATACAAAGGACAACAATTGCTGAAATTACAGGACATTAATTAACCAACCAGGCGGCGGCAATTACCGACCTCTTTTTCATTTCCAATACAAAGTGGCGTGTGGTGGAAGCGCGACCAAGCCGCTTTGGCCGTTGTTTTATTTAGCATTACACCGAGGCATCGTCAGTTCAGGCAGCTGACGTTAATTCCCTCGCAATTTTTCAAAGTCCTTAATTTACATCGATATTTTCCTGCGACTGTGGGAGGCGCGTCTCTTTCAAAAAGCGCCGAAACCACAAAAACACGTATAAGACGCCGGAGAGGCCGGTCGCGAGCATCTTGGCAGCGTAAAAAACGCGGCGATAACGTGGAAAAAAATCTGTAACGACAAAAGGCCGCCGACGCGATGGGGCGGTGGAGTCGGCAGCAGGCGTTTGAAAAATTGACTTCGAGGCTGGCTTGAAGGACGAAGGGATAGAAAACAATGGGGGGTCTCTTCACGCGACACTGCTTCTTTTGCTTCCGCCTCGTCCTTTCTATCTTTTCTTTGCCGTTCTGTTTCTTTCTACTGCGAATCGCGTTAACCCCTAGCTATCGCGCGGGACGCCACTCAGAGTCGGATTAGCGCCCGGCGCGCGAAGTCTTCGAAAAGTGCGCGTGAATAAAGTCGGCCTACATGTGAATATCAGTGCTGTCGGAGACAGATCTGCGCACATGCAATTTTTACAACAGCTACAAATATATTATACAAGCGTGCACAATGCGCGATCGTTGCGTAAGTAATAACGCAGCGATAACGATTGCTGATCGATTCCCGAACGCTGTATAACTCTATTACGTCGCAGACATATCTTAATAAAAAGCAAATCCTCCCCTAGATGACGACGACGACGACGACAACAAGCGACGATATAATCTAATGCAACAAATCTATCCCACTATCTCGCCGACGACGATCGCGTATACCCTTAGGCATATTCAAAGCCGTCATTTGTAGTGAAAATCACAAAAGATTGCAGAAAAGAACCGGAGGTGTAACGAGTAACGAAGCCTCGCTTTGAATTAAAAACGAAAAAAGTTATGAGGACATTTACTGTGTCCACACGGTACCATGAAGCGAACACATAAAATCCATGACATATTACAATCGACCTTTAAATATTTGAGGGTTGATTATAGAGGGTGCGATCTACTAATAACCGATATTGCTTTATGCGTTTCGCTTCGTGCACGCAGTGTCGTGTTGTGTATTGGAAAAATCGGAGGGCCCATGTTTCATCGAGCGTTTGATATGAAATATTGCGAAACATAACGAACATTCGATGTCGACGGCGGCGCTCTTTATAGAGCTCTGCCTTCTGTAAACCGTGCGGGTGTCGAACGTACGAATAGGTCGCGTTTATTAGTCCGCGATTTCGTTAGGAATTCATCTGCACCGCGCCAAAGCGAACAAAAAACCTGGAACCACAACGGATACAGAACGCACCCCAAATACAAAAAAGGACGAACAAAACGGAGAGAAAAAAGCAATTTCCAAGAAGATGGCGTTTGAATATTAAATAATTCATCGGCGATCATTCCATTAATTGACGATGCAAGGAACAAGCCAACATTTAATCAAGAGCACAAAGGACCCATTTTATATGCAAAGTTTTTGGGCGTTGTTTTCGTTTTTGATAAAAAGGTGCTAAATAATGTTTTAGCACTTATTAGCTGCAGAGGAGTATTGGTACTGTACTTTTTCTTGACATTGTATATTTAAGATTAAAAGTATGTTAAGAGACAATGAAGAAAATAATAATAATTTCATAGTGTCAAGAACAGAATCCAAAATATATAATATAAAAATGAATCGCAAAATCTGTTGGTAAGCGCATAACTCAACAACGCCTAGATCAATTTTCCCATTTTTTTTAAATGATCGTTTAAGTTTAATGATGGTTTGTACGGCGAGAAAAGTTTAAATAATTGCCGAGAAAGCCCTGAAGACAGCCCTTTTCTATAGGATAAAGGTAGGCATTGATTCAATCAAAGTTATAGTTAAATAGGTGAATCCGAGATGGCGCGTTGCAGTGCATTGTTAGCTATTCGTTATATAATTAATTTCTTTAAAATAAAATTGACACATACTATATTTAGAACAAGAGAGTAAAAACGAATTACAATACAACACTACCACAAGCTAGTTTGAAATAAATTTGTATCATTAAGTAAATATGCTAAGAGTATTTTAGTGATTTTCAGATACCCTAAGAAATAAATGTATCAAACATATAAAAAAAGGTAGAAGTATGTCAAATGATATATATTTTTATAAAAGTAATACTTTACAATAGATCAGAAGTTCTATCACCAAAAACAAATATTATAAACTTTTCAAACAATAATTTCGTTCATTCCACTCAAAGAATAGAATCGTATTTTGCTTATAATCGGCAGGCAAAAAGTGGGAAAAGCAAGTGCGAAGTGCTGTTATAAGCACTTAGACCGGTAGTCAGCTTGCACTAAGTGCCCTGTATACGAAATTAATCACACATTCATCACACATTTAGGCCTACTCTTAGCTGGAGCCTGGGTGCGTCCTGAGTACGCAGGCACACAGTTTGCATAACGATCGCGTCGTGGAGGGTTGAACGTAATGAATTAATTTTGATAAATCTCATCGTTCTAATCGCGTCGTTCCGCGCCTGCCGCTCGCATGCCTCCGACGCACTAGTTTGCAACTAACTGATGCCTAATCTGTTGTACCGTCGCGACGCGCGTAAACCTCACGAAAATGATGGTGTGAGAGAAAACTGTGCCTAGCGCAAAACTGTTCGCAACTTGAATTCGAAGCATTCACGCTCCTGCTCGTAATTAGTTAATAGTTATTAGTCGTGCCTACTGCCGCATTTGAAACGTTCAATAACGCAACGCAGTTACACATTGTTGCCACCGAAGGGGAGACGAAAATGTACGCGTATTATTTTCACATTTTCGAATATTACCTACCTACCCCCCTCCTAATGACAAAACTCGATATTTTCATTAAAATTGCTAAAATTACTTTAATATGTATCACGGAATGATGATTTATTTGCAAAATTTCACATTATATTTTAATTGAGTGTTTGCGCCGTCAAATGGGCAAAGGTCACGAGCCCAGACGGAACAACGTCCTTGCTTATTTTATGCAATTACGACTGGCTCTCTTGCTGATTAATTCCCTTTAGGTATTATTAACTATTGACTGCTTCGGTTATGCGTTTAATTGACGAGCGTGCACGCTGCGCGCTGAATGCAGCCCGTTTGTAGACGCAACCTACGACATACCAAGTGTTTCCATTATAAATCTTATACTTACATTCATTATACACCAAAATCGGGTAAAAAAAATATAAATATTAATTTTATTCTAAATTATTTTCAGATAAAATTTTCTACGTTTTACACAATGCGTTTTTGTGAGAACACAGATTGAAAGCATAATGATGATTCACCAGGTATTGTACTTTGTGTAAATTTCATAGGAACACTGAAGCAATCCTCGAGGTTGGTCCGGGTGTACAGGAGGAATTCACGCCCGCGTGCGCGCCGACGTCAAGTCGAATGAACATTTGTGTGGACATTGCAAGGTTGATTCAACGTATGCAGGGTTGCGTTTCAATGTACAGAGAGGGTGGTGCAGACCCGCGCTTTGCACCCTTGTGCGGCCTGCCACACGGGGACTGAATTACTAATACTACTAATAATGCAACATTCATACGCGTCTAGTTGGCCCTTCTAGCCCACAGCACCCACGAGGCATTACTCGCGTATGATCGACCGTTTTTTTATTAATCAAACATAATTAATATGAATTAGTCATTATTATAAATGAACTGACGAACGGTGCTCCCACGCTTCGTTTTCGGCAAGCAAGCTTCCTGTTTATGATAGTGTCTCGCAATAACTTTTCATTTTTATTGGTTTGTACGAATTTTTATGGCTTTTATGAGTTTGAATGCATCGCTATTGTTATTGATTATGAAGGATGTGCGTGGGAGCACGTCGCGGCCACAAAGCGCAAAAGTTATTGATTGATTTAAACGCATCGCGTCATCGAATAATATATTCGAACAATAAATTCCGCGAATGCGACCGTCAAAAGGTGGAATGGATATAAATTTAAAGTTTTACGGTTCTTTGCGGTTTGTAGCCATGTAAATATGAGTCGCGGTCTTGTTCATCGCGGAAAACCAATTTTTCATTTTACACATTCATTTTTCTGACACCACATTGCTAACGATTGGGTTTTGTTTACCTAAGACAGACCGTTCTCTCCAACTGTCATTTATCTAGATTGATATGATACGGCAGACGTTTTTGAATTTCCAGAAGTGCTATCATTCGTCCGGAAGGATGTAACTCACCTGAAAATAACATAATATTTTTTTAGTTCTCGCATAACATCAATTTTATTTTTATTTCAACATGTAAATATATTGTCTTAAATAAATTTTAAACGCGAATGAAAAAGTTTTCATTACATGCACTACGTCTACGTCAGCACTGCACCAGGACTGCGTCACGATCGAGATCCTTACCAATTTCAGAATTTCACCGCGCTCGTAAAACTTGCTTCGTTCCACAATAAGTACGCGCTCACGCTGTAAACGTTCTACAATAAGGTCGTTTGTACGTGCGTTATAAACTCACCCCGCAGTAATGAATGAGTACGGCGAAGATTCGAAACTGCAGCGAGCTGCATGCTCGGGCTTCTTAAATTCAAGTAAATTCCTGCGATGGTGCGCTTTGCGTGTTTACATATTTATGTGGTTTATCTAAGCGTTATCGTTATCCTTTTATTCCCCTTTATTCTCGGCTTGTTTTACGACTAATATACGCGTTCAATATCAATTTATCAATATATTTATGACAAAAATGCCAAATAAAAGAATGAGAACAGCAAGAAAACGCAGAGAAAAAAAATAAAGCCGGCCACCAAAAATATATCTCTTATGAAATATTGAAGGACAATTTCCTTTCAAGGCAATTAGTGTTAGGTGTGTTCTTCTGTCAGGATTAGGACGCTTAAGACTAGAATTCCCACAATCCCTCGCGACAAATCCCTGCTGGCATGCTAAGACTGCAATTCTACCAAACTCCCGCCTGGCATGTTCGATTACAACACAAATTTCGAAGCCTTACAAATTCGCGGTGTTGCATTTGGGTTAATTCAGTCAGTGTCAACCTAAAAATCATTTTCTTTAGTTTTCAAAATTTTCGCCTCGCACGATGTTCCATTCCATGTTTTGAATCAAAATTCCTGTATTTCGTCAAATGCAGATATATTGGTACTTGATGCCAATTTGCTGTGCTGCGAATTATTTTGATTTGCCTTCGATTCCGAGCGTCCGATCCAAGCAGCTTATATGAATCCTTTGCTCACGTTAGCCGCTTTCAAAGCATTTACGAAATTCACCGCTGGGAAATGTACAAGCAACAAGTGCCTCGTCGGCAAGACGGCCATCGTCACCGGTTGCACTTCAGGTTTTTATCATTTGTGTTATCGTGACTTTCTTCAATTTTCAGTCTCTTCTTAACTTTTTTGTGCTTTTTCTGATTGCAATATGTTTGTAAACTCATGCTTAAGGCATTGGCTACGAAACCACCAAACAGCTGGCATCACGCGGATGCAGAATCTACTTCAATGGATTACTTAACCTCAACGAGGACATCATGAACTTACTACGTTATGCATTCAACAATCAAGAGCTATACTATCATCAGTTGAATTTGTCTTCTTTCAAGAGTGTACGCACGTTTTGCGATTATTTCAAAAAGTATGAAACCAAGCTGGATATTCTTATTCACAATGCTGAAGGGATGGGCCACCCACGCGTCATTACCAGTGATAACGTCCTACACGTCATGCAAGTCAATCATTTAAGTCCCTTTCTTATGACTCATTTATTGCAAGGTAAATTAAAACACGTCAGTATTAAATGAATGCAATATAGATAGTATGATTATCACAGATCAGCTGAAAGCCTCCGAAGGAAGTCGGATTATATTTGTGGGTAATGTCATTGCTTATTTCGGAACAATGTGGCGGCCAAACAGTCTTAACAGTGTGGAGAATTCCGATAACAAACTGATGAATCTCTTGGATTTTTACAACAGCAAATGTTGTCAGATGGTTACTGCCAGCATGATAGCCAAAAAATTGCGGCCACACAATATCACGTGTAATGTCGTGTATCCCGGTTGGGTCGATATTGAAGACCGGAAAGTTCACAATAATGTTCAAGCCGGTAATTGGTATTATGACACGTGCAAGATTATTTTAGATGCATGGATTTATATTTATGGCAAAGTATACTGTCCAATTACTGTAACGACTGATTTTTTATTTTTACATTTTCTGCAGACAAGATTAGAAGGGGCGCAAATGGCATTACATGCTGCTCTAGCACACGAACTTGCTCATACAACCGGAAGATTTATCATTGATAACCAGGTCATTCCTTTGCCCTATTACACTCATCGGAAAGAGTTCTGTGAGGCCATATGGGAACTATCCGAGTCATTAAGTAAACTTCGCCCGGAAGAAAAGCTAATTTAATAAAAAAATCTATATATCCTTGCATTATGTCCATATCAATAAAAATCTGTTTTCATTTTTGCATTTATATATTAAAGTAGCTTTTTCCCGCGACCTCGTCCGGGTAGTGTTTAATAAAAATGTAAATCATTTTTACTCTCATGTTCTAAAGTTCAAGACATAGTATGTGTCAATTCTATCAATAAGATTCGCAATTTTATTTTTAAGAAATTAATTCTATATCTCGGATTCAACTCCAGTGGAATCCCGGTAATCTGACAATTACTTTGCAGGGCAGTGTCGGATGAGCGAATTTGTCGGATTATAGAAAACTGCCTAAGGCCCCTTACCATATAATCCGTCAAATTACAAATCCTAAAGTACAAACATATGGCATATGACTATGTCGGATTACAACAATTAAAACAATTACTAACAATTAAACAAAATTACAATAGATACGAGTTCAGCGTGACACGTTCCGATGTTCTGACGTTTGTAATCAATTTGGCTTCGGGTCATAAATTTCGATTCTGAACCTATCGGGTGATAAATACGCATTTTTATTAAAAAAAGAAGATGAATGCGTTATTAGCGCTGGGTGCCCTCAAAGTGTATCTGAAATGGTCATCGGGTTGGTGCACCGAAACCATTGCCCAGACCGGGAAAACCGCTTTGATTCTAGGCGCTAGTAAACATCCAGGTTATGACTTGCTACTAATTTATTTGTAATACAGGGTTATTAATATTCATATATATGTGCACATAGGTTATGAAATTGCTGAAAATTTAGCTGGGCGTGATTGTCGTATCATCATTGCGGACGATGACAAGCTTGATAGTACCCGCGATAAGATTATTGAATCCACGGGGAACCCGAAGGTAGAATACAAGTATGTCAACCTGTACAAGTTGCAGAGTGTGCGTAATCTCGCGGAGGATTTGAAGAAAAATGAACCTCAACTGAACATGTTGATTTTTACTGACCACGTGTCGGGGCTGGACCAGAAACCAACCGAGGACGGTTATCTTAAAGTAGTGCAGTATAATCATTTAGCTCCATTTTTATTAACCTATGAGTTGACAGGTACGTTCATGCCTCAATGAGTCTCACTCATTTCCTTCAAAAGAGTTCCAGTTAACAATGATAGTTTTTTAAAATAGATTTATTGAAGAAGACTGTCAACAGTCGAGTAATTTTTCGAAGTAACATTTTGTCATATATGCATAAAATCTACTCACCCGCTGACATCAACCGATCGCCCACCAATCGTAGTCAACTTTTGCATGACTTCTTCGAATACAGCAATAGTAGTGCGCTCACATTAATGACAATGAAGTGTTTTGCCGACATGTTATCCGAACATCGGGTATACTGCTGCGCTGTACATCCAGGTTTCATGAACATGACCTTGTTTGATATCACCAAGGATGTTGAGTGGAACAAGAAGAATGCAATTTCTTCACTAATATTTGGAAAAGCCATTCCGTCATTTCTCAAATTTTTTGGCAAGGTATAACCATCTAAAATATTTTTATTTATGTTTACTAACGTTTCCTGGGCAATAGAACAATCTAGAAGGAGCCCAGACTGCAATCTATGCAGCTGTGACACCAGAAGAACGCGAAATTGCTGGAAAATTCCTCGCTGATTGCAAGATGATCATGCAGCCACCTTCAGCCCAGATGCGCTTGTTCCGAACGAAAATTTTTGATGAGACTAAACGCATGGTCTTGGCTCAAAATAAAATCTCAAAGCCACCGTCCAGTATGATGCCCCCAATGAAAGTCCAAGAGTCATCTATGCCCATTTCTGATATTCACAAAACTCCTCCACCTTCCCAAGGTCTTCCAAACCAACCGGAAACTACTATGGACGAGGAGAGTAAAAAAATGAGTGATAGAAGCGTTCAGAAACGAAGTTCCGCTGCTAAATCTTAAACCCTCAAAGGTTCAATTATTCCATAAAAAAAATCATCCAAATTGCATGTTCATATTGTGTGTATGGGATATATATATATCAATAAAGTGTATCCCCCTCGTTTATGACGGCGTATTGAGCTAGATTACAGTCGGCGAGCACTAAGGAAAACCAGTGCTGCTAATTATTTTGTTATCTGTTTGGCATGATAATCTAAAAAGAGGGAAGGCAGGCGACCAGAGTACAGATGAGGGAACGCAGGAGGATTGTAGCCGGCTAGTGGCAGGATGGCGGGTGAGTACGTGAGTGGGGTTTAAATGATTTATATTATCGGAAAGACCCTAATGAACTATTAAAAAGGGTTAGCGATGCGCGCATGGCGTTGAGTTGTACTAGGCTTCAAGACCTGCTCACGAACAAGAAAGTTATGAGAGAACTTGATGAAACTCGCAAAATTTGCTTTATTTATACGGCATTATGTGGCATTTTTCTGCTCTGCTGCTTTGGCGAGTTCTTTATTTTTTATTGGGCGCACGATATCGTTATTTATACAGTGGCATGTGGCGGCTGCTCCCAAGCAGGTCGCCGTCGGAGGAAAATAAATAAAATTAATTTCAATATAAATGTAAATTTCGCAAAGCACGAAATGAACGAAAACGACGCGGACGGGCCTTAAAGGACTCGAGAAAAATAAAAGAACCGAAAGAAGTTCTGCCAGTTCTTCAGGGGCTCCACACGAAGCAGATAATGCTTAAGGATGTTTATACAGGGTGTAGTAATGTAGGTAAAATCCTTGTACGCTAGAAGTTATTATGAAAAATATTGAACATAAGGAAATCTGTTTCAAAATTCATTGCTTTTAGCTGGAAAGTTTAAGGACACATTGAAGTTGCAAATGGATTTTTAGATTTGTAAGTTGCTTGCAGGACACGCTGTGTGCAATGCATACGACTATGCATAAAAGACGCGATAAAAAAGGGCCCAAACGATAGGAAAACGAGAAGAGGGTCGTGTTGTGTTAGGTTATTGGAGGGAGCTCCGGTTGCGGTGGCAATACAGCAAATCCGATTATGGATTTTGACGTCGCCGCTCGTCGCCAGTCTCGACGCACTGTCGATCCGGAATACTCTGTGAGCGGGCGGCAATCGTCGACTGGCTGCGGCCGAAAAGCGATAGCGTTTATTTTGACGGCGTCGGCGGCGGTGAGCTTTTTATCCGCGCGCGGAATCTCTGTTGGTCCAGGTTGCGACGATGTGGGCCGCCCCCATGCCCGCCTTGTCGCGTTCGTTATCTCAATTCCGCTACGGATATTATAACCGAGGGTTATGATAATTTTTTCTATTAGTGCAAAGCTGGTGGCGGCCAGCACGACGGATGGCGGCGACGGAGAGAAAACCAGAGAGGTTTTGGCGTTTTCTCTCCGGGGACATTATCGGCGGCGCACGGGTTTAGCAGAGCGGGCGGGGGCCGCCAATCGCATTACCCGGAGCGACAGATGTGTGATCAAACGACATCAGCCCGACATTAGATCGGTTACTTTGTCACAATTTGCGGGCCCAAACATTAGAGCGCCGGCCCCTCCGTGGGTCGCCAGTCGGCGGCCGGGTTGCGGCGTAATGGATTTATCACGCAAGTGCGCGCCGGCGTCGCGATTTGCATTTACAATACATGCACGTTGTGTTGTTGCCGACTCGCCGCCGCTTGTAGAGCGCAACCCGCACGTTAACATCCCGCACCCGTAAACCGACAATACTCTCCATTTGCGTTGAACAAAAAATCCTGCGCTGCGCTGATTTTCCATCGTCGTGTTTTACTACGCTGTAATAACTAATAACAATGATGTTTATTAATTATTGCATTACAAGCGGCGTGTTTTTTCCACCCGAAATAGTCTGCCAAGCATAACATTTCACCCGCTCGAAAGGGTAATGGCAAAGCGGCAGAGTTTTGATGATATTTAACTAAACATTAACTACACGAGTACCGACGGAGTACTTAAGAGATTCGTCGGGGAAATTCATGTATTTCTAATGAAGAAACTTGGAATAGAGAGACACGGGCAACAGTTTAAAGCTGCCCTGCCGCGCATCCGAAGCGCCCCCGAAACCGGAATCTCACCACTCTCGGCTCGTAACTCGCAACACGCGCAGATAGTGATAAGACGCAAGCGCAACGCAGCATAGCAAGAACGCACGCACTGGCAGAAGACGAAATGATGCGAAATTAGTTCCGACTATGCGGCGGCGGGAAGGACGGGGTGGCGAGGATGCGCAAGGATAAACCGCCAGTGCGGCGCGCCGGAACCCGCCCGAAAGATGAGCGAATATTAATTAAATCCAATATTAAAACCACGAAACGTAACGTTTTCTAAAGTTTTTTCATTACCACTTAATTAAAACTTTCGGCTAGGACTCGTCCGACCGGAAGGCGACCGCGCGGCGCGGAATTACACAAATCCAGTATCGTCGTACAACATTCTTCAATTAGCGCCCATGGCAAATGCAGCACGCAACAAGGGGGCGGTAATCTCAAATTGCTAATTTGCTTGTGCAAATTGTGCAAGATACGTTTTTTTTTTCTGTCCACTTTCGTCCAGTTACATTTGCCACCGCAGTGATTATGAAAACCGGCTAGTTATGACATACTGCTACTGAAAAAAAAATTACGCTAGTTGATAGAGCATTTTGTAAGTGCCGAAAGCGTAATAAACATTAATGAAAGCGCACATAAAGTGAACTTAAAATTGTGCGTGCGCCGCAAAGCTTTTTATTACTTCTCGCCGAGCTCTCTGCACGAGTCTGTTCAATGTTTAATGAGAAATTAAATCGTAAGCATAACAACTCGATAAACAAAAGGCCCGAAGCGAGTGGGAACGTAGCAGGGCAGAGAGCGGCAGACCAGAACGGACAAAAGGACGAGTAAATAAATAAATAATGAAGGCTTTTGTGTCGTCGTCGTCCTCGTAGACGTCGTCTTCGGAGTTTCGGGGCTTCGCTTGCGTCCTGATATTTATTGCACGCCGAGAGGAAAACGCAAACGTACCAGACGCTAAAGAGGATGCTGCAAAATGCACGCGCGAGTTTTCGGCTAGAGATGCAGAGTGGCGGACAACGACGAGGCGACAGGACGACAGGACGAGCGCGAAGAAAGCGGCCGGCACGCCGAACGAGACGCAGAACGGACGAGAATTTAATCCCGGACATTCTCGGATGTTAAAAAGAAGATCAATTGCGCATAATACGCCCACTATTCACTGCGGCGAGAGTGCGCCGAGTTGCAGCGGGGGGCGCGCAGGAAGGACGCTCGGGTACATCGCGAGCGGCAATAAATTCATTTCTTCCTTCGCTCCGTACCCGCGCTTGCTGCTTTTCCTCATTATATTATACTTTTGAAACGTACACTTTGCAGACGCAACTTCTATGCTTGTCCACTAATTAATTTCCATGATTCAAATTAATTTTTGTACAAACCTGCCAACAATAAACAAAATTCGTATGGGGTCACGCCGCGACATTAAATCAAATCAGCCCCCACATGAAATTGATAAAAACGGATATGAAGCGCTCAACATTTCAATTTTTACGAGTCGGGGTTGTCGCAAATCGCCGGAATTACCAACACTGCTGGGGGACGCTGGCTGCTCCCCCGTTACACGTTACATGAACGCCATGAAAAGATATTTTAAAAGTCATTCGGCATAATTCACTTTGCGCAACGCAAGCGAGCGCCGACGAGTGTTGTTCTGTCAGCAAGCAAAAGGATCAAAGAGAAATTTAAGAATAGAACACTAATGGTATAATAATGTATGACGTTCGCTCGCTACCCTCCGGGAGAATACAGTATGTCCGCGCCTGTCCGACAAGAGAATGACAGCGTGCAGGGGTTGGTGGTGGGACGTTTGGTATATGGTATGCGAATATGAATCCATCACCCTCGACGCCGAGAAGGATGACGACGACCGTGTTCGCTGAATGTACATTTATGATTCATCCCTTTGCCACGGACATGGCCAGGGTCTCTCTAGTTTCGTGTCGGCACCTCCTGTGTTCCTCCCACACGCCGGTTGCGATAATGTTGCATTATCCACGAGACCCAAAATAACGAATAACAAGCGGCTGATAATTCGACGAGCGTCGTTCGAGTTCCAGTTTAGAGTGTGCAACCACCCCAACACAGCTTATCACGATCGTTGCGTCGATTGTCTGGTGAAAGAAGGAAATTATTGTCGAACGCATGACTTGGCGACTGACGCAAATTTATTTCATTGCACTTCCGTTCTCCGGCGAACATTCGAACGAGTGTGAGTCGGGAATTTACCCCAAATGTATGGGCTACCATTTAGGTGGGTAATAGAAGATGAAACGCGTTCATTTCGTAACGTTTAGTATGAGACCAAAACGGGACCACGTCTGCTCTACATGCTGCAGCACAGTGGCGGATTACGGCCTAGGCGCACTAGGCGCGCGCCTAGGGCCCCGGCTGCCTGGGGCCCCGGCTGCCTGAGGGCCCCTGGCACTTATATGCCCCATATAGATATCGTAATTTCACAAATACTTCATCAGTTGGTTTTGACCTCAGCCTTTATGAATAGCGTATCGGTTTTCGCTTGGCGCCCAAAACAGCATTTCACACGTGTCCGCAAAGCAACCGTCACGGATATATAGCTGACTTAAAACTTTTTATCTCCGATTTTATTTCTTTATGACAAACTGTTTAAAATAAAATTTTGATATTTTCTGCCACGAATTTTTGTGACCTTTTCTTGAATATTGCATTAGAAAGTTATAGCTATAATGCGAGTAGTATATTGCCAATTTTTTTGAGTTGAGGAATATTCCATTGAGGTTGTAAAATAGCGGGTAGCTCTCTTTTTTGGAATATTAATTATTTCGTCTTTCTATCATTTTTTCACATCTGCGGAACACGTTGTACCAACGTTTATCCTCCTACAATTTTTATCTAGATTTTGGGGTGGTAGGTAGTTGGATTAAAGAAAAACAGAGAGTGGTCAGTGAGTCTTGAATCACAACCCCGACAACACTAGTTCTACAAAAGTTTTTTCTCGAAGTTTTGTGCA